GGGCATGGTGGTAAGTTACTTACATAATTTCCAGTTATTGTTAGGATAACCACTTTATTTAGTATGCTATTATTAATTTTAACGTATTTATATATATATATATATATATATACTCTAGTAACTTTTTGTAGTATGAAAAACCTACTTAGTTATTTCTTAGTGAACGCTTTTTGATTTTTTTTTGCTGATTTTTTGACCTTTTGATTGATTATTTATAAAAAAACGCGGGTCAATTTATTATTTCTACTTATGACTTCTATATTTGAAGATTATTATTTATTAATACGTACTTTTACAATAAAATGACTATTAACTTATATGATTTTGTTTTCATTCTTTTCGGATTTTGAGAGCTAACTAAATAGTTGAACATATATATATATACATATGTATCTATATATATATATATATATATAATTTTGATTCAACTTAACTTTTTAAAGGAACGAGAAATTAAAGAACTATTTTATATAGTTGATTGGGTAAAACCGTATTTCATTCCCTCCTGGAGTTTTAGATTATAAGTCGTGGAGCTGCCTCATTAAGATATTATGTACTTTTAGTGGGAGTGCTTTTCCTTTTCATTCCATTTTGCAGGTACACAACAGGGACAAACAGCGAAGTGTAAAAATATACCTAGTTGTACATAATCATATTCGAGCTTCCTAGCTTTTACAGGTATGATCGATAAAAACGGGAATGCATTGTATTGCAAAGCATAGGGAAGTGGAGACAAAGTTCACAGTTGAAATTTTGAATTTTGTACGTGAGTGAGAAACAGTGTGGCAGATGTTTGGTGAGCAGGGTGGTACTGCCGAGAGTTGTGTGTAAGGTTCATAAGCATCGAATATGCATCCTCGTTTTGCTAGTATTATTCTCGATTTAGATCGATTCGGACTAAATGATACTGATAACATTGCTGGAGTAAAAATGATAATGTCTCATAGGACGAGTTGAATCTGCGATAGTTCAGGGCGTGCGTGCTGATATCGATGATCATGCTGATATAACTGGGCTTCAGCGCGTTGCCATCAAGGTTCACAGTACATATTAACTATTAACTTAGTCTTTGATCTGTGGTGTAGTTTTAACTGAAATCGATATTATCGATTCGCATTGTTCGAATCATGCTTGACTCTGAGAGTTTTCGCGTTTTCTTTCTGAATATATTGAGAAAGGAAAACATTGGGAGTAGTTTTGTGAGCGCAGTCCTGAAGAAAGACTTTCCTATGATGTTTTTTCGGTCATCGAAGTTGTACACATTTATCCAAATTGGTTATTTAAAGGCCATTGAAAGTTCAATTAGTGAGGTCTATTTGTACAGCGCGACAATACATCATCGTATAGCAAGTTGTAAGTTAAAATATTATATTTTGAATGTAATGGTTTTCTCATGGCTTTTGTATTGTTTTATCTCTCCTCCTTCCTAGTGAAAAAGCAATAACCCACAAAGCAACAAACATCGACAAGCAATAGAAAGAGGACAAACACAGTTTCAACACTATGGAGGCAACTCTACGAAATCTGGTTCAGTCCAACCTGCAATGGATTTTTGTGGGCGGCAAAGGCGGCGTCGGAAAGACTACCACTTCGTGTGCGCTCGCTGTTCTCCTTGCTTCGACACCGAGGGTCGACCGCACCACAGGTAAGACGACTTTTCCACGTATCTTATTGCTTTCAACAGACCCTGCCCACAACCTGAGCGACGCGCTCAATCAAAAAGTCGGTGACTTCCCGACACCTATTAAAGGCATGGAGACGACCTTGTTTGCGATGGAAATCAATCCGATGAGTTTTACACAAGGGAAGGATGTTTTTGCGGAGGCTTCCCAACGGAATCCCACTTATGACTCCTCTAACGCTCCCACCACCACCCCGGGCGCAACTTCGGCGGGCGTATCGCCGTTTGCGGCTCTTGGGAAGATTTTCCGGGATGCCGCCAGTTCACTCCCTGGGATTGATGAGCTATCGGTTTTTGCCCAAATCCTGCGTGGGGTGCAGGATTTGAAGTTTGATGTGGTACTTTTTGATACGGCCCCAACCGGGCATACACTACGGTTGTTGGCGCTCCCACAAACCCTTAACACGACGTTCGATAAATTGATGAATATGGAGGGGATTGCGCCGATTTTAGGAGCAGCTGAGCACCTCTTGAAGAATGTCATGAAGACACCATCCGCGGAAGGTTCGAATGCAGAATCTTCTGATTCAATAACCTCGCAAGGGTTGACTGGCATTGCGGAGGAATGGCGTGGTCAAGTTCAAAAGGTTCAAGAACAATTTAACGATGCGACTAAAACGGCCTTTGTGTGCGTCTGCATATCGGAATTTCTGAGTGTGTATGAGACCGAACGCCTTATCCAGGATTTGATGAAGTACAACATCCAATGCGATAGCATTGTGGTGAATCAACTTGTCTTGAAGCCATCCGGGGAGCCGCCATGCCGCATGTGTGCCGCAAGACAGAGAGTGCAAGCCAAATATTTAATCCAGCTCGAGGATCTTTACGAAGACTTCCACCTCGTAAAAATGCCACTACTAAGTAATGAGGTCCGAGGCGTCGAGTCCTTGCGCAAATTCGCAAAGTTTCTGCTAGAGCCGTACAATGTTGATAAGCATGGCTATCTAGAACTAGATGCATGCTGATAAAGACCCATTTTTCATGGCTTTAGCATTTCTCCTGATATATGATTTTTGGCTAGAATTTTAAATATTACTTTCCGAGAAACCATATTGAGGCAGATTTGTCTGAAAAGATTCAGCTAAATTAACCGAAGATAATATCACAACAGGTGTCATACTTATTTAATATTTATTTAAATTGTATTAAGTGGTATACACTTAGTAATGTCTTAAATAGTGAATAGTACAATCCAATGGGCTAGAGGGGCTTGAGCAGGAAAATAAAGAAATTAATTCTAGAGACATCTATGTGTCTTTAAGGTATAATTTGCCACATAGTATCCATTGATTGGATTAATGGTGCCTTTATTTGGATGAACTTCTTAATTTAATTCCCCCTTTATTCACTCTTTTTTATTTATTATAGCTGTCTACTTGTGTATGGCATAAAAAAAATTGTAGCTCCGAGAGAAAATAAGAACCTATTAGACGAAGTACTATGTGCGTTTCCTGTATTGCTTTAGGTGAATAGATTTCGAATACCACAGAGAAAAGAAGAAAGTAGCACATTTAGAGAGTTGAAGGCAGGCTCTCAATGCGTAAAAGTGTTTGTCTCCGTTATTTTTGCAGCTAACTTTTACTTTTAGCTTCTGTTCTAGGAAATGGTCACACATGTCTACGTTGTATCATATAGGATTCGAAGATTATACCTCGAGCATTTCAAAACGTACAGTGTACTTTACCATTATTCTGCTGTACTCTTCAATTTCATCCCTTCTTCGTTTACATAGGGGCTGTAATGTGGACTGTTCTTACCTTTTTAATCATGAACTTATATTTTTCAATTTTAATGGGTATATTATCTAATAATTACTCGTTACCAAAGACTCTAATTTCACGGACCCTTCTTTGAGTTTATAGAATGTATATACTAACATTTTATTATCAATTTATATATTACTTGTTCTGAAGTGAGAACTGTAATCTAAAATATTGAACAGGTGGGGAACATTAAGCATTTGTTCTAAATAATAATAAATTACCAACCGTAGATGTGATTGTCTTACTATCTTATTCACACATCAATTTTATGGTGTGAAAATCCCACTTTGTGGTCGTCTCATTTGTTTCTATATTCAACCCTCCGGCTCACGATATTCTCCATATGCCTTCCTTTCTGAACGTAATCTCTTCTTTTTGATGGTATTTCGTTCTGTAACCTCCCTCCCCTTTCCTTCTCCCTTACACACACACACAAAAAAAAAGGGGTTTCATTCCAGAGCTCATTAAGGTCACGAAATACACATTTAGCCCAAACTTAAGGCAAAGGACGCTGTGACAAGTCTGAGGTCTACTCATGACGTCACCCATGAGCGAAAGCCCCGAGGCGTCCCCGTCGGCCTTCCCCACACCGCGTCCTCCTCCCCCTCCCGATGAGAAGGAGACGGACGAGGATGAGACACCGTGGTCGGGGGAGCCGGCTTTAGCTGAGTTCGCGCGATCGAGCGGGGCCTCTGCGAGCCCTGGGCTGCTTCGTACGTTTCTGGAGGCCGTCGATCGCCAAGCGGGGGCTACGCGGGAGCTGCGTGAGGCCATCGACGACCTCGCGCGCGCGCGCGAGACGCGGCATCGACCCACCGCGGCGGCCCTCTTGGCAACTAAAGAGGAGTCCTTCGCCCATCACCAGCGGGC